CGCTAATCATAAGCAATCATTCAGTTATTTTTTATATCTTTATTTATTACTAAATTCGTAAAGTAGGTTACGGTTCTCTTGGAATCAATATTTTATCGATGAACTGTTTTCAACTGATTAATAATGCGTGAAACCTCATAAATCACATGAGTGATAGTATGTATTGTACCCTCACATTGTTAATTAACCATGACAATTAGCTTCTAACTCATTGATGCCTTATCATTCATCCAGTAGTGTGCTCTAAATTACAATGCAATGTCGGTTTTGTTTCACTGAATATCTAAAGAAAAAGTAATACCAATGATATTTCATGTCTCAAACGTCAAGATACTTCTATCATTGTCTCCTCACCATGTTAGGCTAGAGCCAACATCAGTCACGTTTTCTTTCCCCTCTAAGTCAGCCATTTTGGAATACCATTCTCATTCTTACACTGCTCCTGTTAGTAATGTCTGTTTTTAATGCACACGATTTGAGTTTCAATCTCATGTTGAGCACGTTTGTAAAGGCCGCAAGAAAGGGAACAATTATAAACTGACTCAATTCAGTTGGTATGTGTGGCAAGTGACTCTCTTCTCTTGATTTGATAAGGTTTTGGAAGAGCTCTGGGAGATCGTTGTGTGACAAATGACAAGAGGGTGACAGCTGGAAAGCTTCTAGGTAGCATGTGGCTTCATCGTTAATATCTACAATGTTATTCAATAATTTGAGACTGGAACGATAAGCTTCACTATCATGCCCACCATTTACGAAATTCCGTTTTCAGTCATAGTTTAGTAGATGGTATCTTTTTTAATTTGAAAGCATTTTCGGATGATATAAACTATTTTACAAAATCCTCCTTAATTATTGCGTTGTTACTAACCACATGTTTTTTCGGATAAACAGAAATTTATTGTGGGCGTTAGACTTTGTATTTCATCAACTAACATCATTCGCCTGACTTCATTATTAACACCCACTACTTTTTTTGTTGAATCATCAATATGAGTTCATATATTATCTGAAAGAATATATTACTCATTTGTATTGAATATGTGTGCTGGTGAGAAGACTGAGGCAGGCGGGGAAGATTGTACTATGCAAATTTACACTCTGAGTCAGTTAAAAACGAAAACATTACATTGAATACTCTATTTGCACACCATCTTTAAGTCGTGACTTCCAACACTCCATCATTCTTCTTCCATTCCTGTTGTTGCTTCCTTTCCTTCCTGTTGGTACTCCATTTACTTCTTGCTTTTGCTCCATTTGCTTTCTGTTTTCCTCTTCTGACCGTGAGACTTCTTCTTTCAGGTCCCTTCTTATACTACTTATATCGTTCGTATAAGTAGCACACACCACACTGGCACTTCGTTTAATACTGAAAATTGTTAAATATAGAATCTAGTTGTAGATATGATGTTTATGTTTGCAGTTTCGCTAGGTTATTAGATTATCGGAAAAAGGTATTGTAACGATTAACAGTATTTTTATGAGGACAACTCAAGTGACTTGTCGCAGTAACCTCTAACAGCCATTCAATCTACAATATGAATTGAATTTTTCTCCTTGTAATTAGTTTCTGTTTCGTTTAATAGTTTTCTCCCTGTTATAATTACTTTATTTCCGGTCTATTTTCTTATGATTCTCTTATCTGTTGTTTTCTGTGATACATTTCTATCAAATAGATTAATCAAGCTTTTTGTCATATAAATAAACATGAAATGTAACTCATTTATCATGTATATGTTTTGTACCGTATATTTTGTATATATAGGCTAACGATTAGCATTCAATTACTAGAATTGGAATACATAAGTAAAAATTAAAATTTGCATTCAAACAGATAAGAAATCAAATATGAAACCGTTGAGTTACCACATGGATAACGAAATAACGTTTTATTAGATCTGTATATATGTAAATCAATCAGCTCCCGTAACATATATACAGTCAAAATTTTTTGAATTTATCATTTACACATCAAATTTGATATGTATATGTACATGTATATTAGTGGTGATTCTGTACTGGTTTTATCACACAAAAAAAGACATTCGTCTAGATTATCAGTCACGTTTTATCTTCTTGTTTCCTTTTTTTTCTATTTGCTTTGTATTACACACTTACAGACAAAAAAGTATGTATATTAGAATGTGTTGGTTAGTTTTTTCCTACTTTTTTAACTTCTTATACAATATAGGTAACCTGATTTATAGACATTTATATCTAAGCAAATTGTACACACAAATGTATACTCAGTTTGAATCTTATGTATTCTTGACAATAATCACTGGCGGATACATAAACATTGAAATTATAAATCGGTGAATGTTAACTATCACTTGTGACCTGGAAGCACGACCCCCACAGGTGGGAATTCAACCCCTCGCGCATGGACGCTTAACCTCCTGATCGCTGAGCCAACACAACGGTGGCTAGCTCCAAGGCGTACTCCTGGATTCTTAGTAAGAAGCCGTAACCAGTAGAGTTCAACTGTCTCCGGTATGGAGCTGCTACCCTCCGAAGACAAGGAATGATGGTCGCGAGATATGGTGGATTGATTGAAGTTAGACATTAACACCACTGAATGCCGACTCAGTGGTCTAAAGATCAAGCGTTCACACGCAAAACTAAAAGATTTGGGTTTGATTCCCGTGTTCAGAGTCGTGGATGCGCGTTGCTATTGAGTCCCATACTGGAATGAGGCGGCCGTCCAGTGCTTCAAGGTTTCTAATGGTTGTCTAACAATGATCAATTCATGGTTTCGATCAAACTCAATCATCTCCACCACTTTATAATGACGAATATATATTCGCCAGATTTCAAGAACGATACAAATACTTATCAAATCTTTTCTCTTTCGTATCACACATGCATTTGAGTCGTGTTTTATTCGACACAGTATTCAAATAATAATGCAGTAACGGCGACAACAACAAAAATTTTCAATCAACCACTAAGACAACAAATGAAATAAATAATAATTTCATAGTTTAGCCCTATTTGACTAACAAAGAATTGTGTTTAAGATACCTAAGTTGTCTAGTTAATGGCCAATTTTATTTATTTGTGTGTGGGTGCACATGATTTGAAATGTCTATTCTGTTACTTGTATCTTGTCTGCTTTTTTGTATTATGGTTTGTTAACTTGAGTGAGAGAAAAGAAAGATTTGTTGTGACATTGTATACATGTTATTTAAAGATTACTTCCTTTTGTGTCGTTCCGTTTTTCATACATTTTTGTCTGTTATTTTTTGCAATAACTAGATTATGATTTTGGATATTCTGTTTTTTACAAAAGTACTTTACACTATTGAATGATATTATTTAGACGGCGATTGAAAACCGGGAAGTATTAAACAGTTGTTTCGCCGTAGTATGTGATACCTCAACAGTATGCAACCTCACCTAGAGCCTACAGGTCTCATGGCGAATACTTAACCTTAAAACGATTGATCTAGTATGTAATAGCTTAGATATTTAACTTTAATCAATTCACAATATTGTGCAACCACCTCCCATTATTGTTGGTATGGGGGCCGTGAGCCAATCAGTTTCATACTACAATAAGATATGTTGTTCAATGCTTCTTAGTGTTCAATGTTTGTTTAATTCAAATGAATCCATGATATGAACTGACATTCAACTACATCCAAAATCCTTCTGTTATAACAGTGAATAATATTTGTTTTTTAAGAAAAAATTAACAAAGATTAATTTATCTTGTAATATTTAACTTTATCGCGTGTACCAAAGACCTTGAACAAACACAAAGTATCAAATTCCAGTTTCAAAGTTGACATCTCACTTGTATTATATATATATATGTATATATATATATATATATATATATATATATATATATATATATATATATATATATATATTTATCACAACTAACCAGGCCATGTTGAAAAGAATGTGAACTAAGCAAGTCACAGAAAGAAAGTGGTTTTTTTAAATGATTTTGTCACATTTCTATGAACAAATATATGATGATACTTGACTATAATTATTATTATCATTATTAACTTCTGTTACATAAATGATTTCATTTTGTGTTAGGCATATTTTGCATGAGGAAATACCTTAAAATATTTGACATTTTTCCATAAAAAGATGTCTAGAAAATTTACAGTTCCCTAGTTTATGGTTAACGATTTTTATTTAAAATAATAATCAGATTGTTATTGAACTGCCTTATGTATTTACTTGTAGTGAAGATTTAAAACATTCATATTGAACTATAGTTTTGAAAGTATTATTTATGATTTACTGTTAGGATATCGATCAAATATCCCAACAGAATTATTCTTGTAAGTTTACTTCTATTGGTCAATTCTTACTGGTCAATATTACGGTCGTCCTAGCTATCAATGTCACGTATTTCAATGTTGTTTCCTATTCAACCTAACTTTATAAATACGCATTATCTGTAACGTTTTATGAACCGGACCCGGATCCCTAGTCCGGAATCCTGATTCTCTTCTGAACTCAGACCTCGTACTTTCTGGATGTTTGTAGAATACATGTTCTACTTCATATCAAGTCTTCTCCTTTTACTCAATGAGGGTTTGGGACACTCAGATTAGAGTAGCCTGTCTTGTCGCGGGATCCTCGACCCTCGCTCTGGTTTTCCGACAAAGGTAAACTCGTAATAGTTCAAGTCTATCAAATCACCTGTTTACGTGCATGAGTAACAGTTACTTATTTAACAGATAATATTTTGGTATAATCATTTTGACGAAAAATATTGTCATGAACTGACATCAGTGAACACCTCTAAGGGGACTGACTTAACAGTTAATTTATCCCGCGTTATAACTCTTCTACTAATTACGCTCACGTAGGATATAATTCAGAAGTTTTAGTTTTCAGTAATTGATGAATACTAGTAGTAGTGGACCCCGATGCCCACAGTATAAAATTTTTGCACCTAGTTACAAGAATATAGATCTTTGTAAATGAGTATTAATCATTGTTGCTTTTTCGTGTGTTTTTCCTCTTATTAGTCGAATGAAAAGGCTTCATCATTAAAGCATTCTCCTCGTATTGATGGTACTTCGGATGGATTATATGGTTACAATCCAATTGCTTCAGGTAAAAAACAATGTTAAAGGATAAATATATTTATAGCTTATTATAAAATTGTTCACATTTTCATACAGTAAATTCTGCATTGGTATTTTTATGGTTTTTCTTGTTTCTCTTCCTTCTTTTTAAATAAGAAATTGTTTATTTTTATCATGCTTTCTCAATCCTGGCATAGATCAACATGATCTTCCAGTTGGTACATTAAGATTTTTATTGTGTTAGTAGATAATAAGTTCTATGGGAGAATACGGAGAATACATCTATCTACGGCTAATCAGTCTTATACTTTCGTGATAGATAGAGCCTTCCGTTTGAATGTAGATCTAAATTCAAATGAGATAAATCACAGATCGTGAACTGTATCACTAAATGTTAGTAAATATCAAAATATCATAGAGATTCATTTTGAGTTGATAGTTTATTTCTCAATCATACCCGTAATTCAGTCTTCTCATTAATCTATGAATTGATTGGCTGTTAGACGAAGCTATCTAAGTAGGTGTAGATTACCTAGTCGAGGTTGCACAACTAATCATAACCTACAGTTAAAGACTATGGGCGACATGGATTAGAATCAGTCACAGGTCCATTTCTTCCTTACCTTTCCTCAGTTCATGAATCCTTAAATCTCCCTATACTTGTAGGTTTTTTTCCTGAAACCTATTCTTCTGTACCACTAAAGAGACACTATTGCTGAGTTACTCGGTGGTTTGTATCAGTGATTTTATTTCGTTATGGTAGTGAGATTCGATAACTTGAACCGATTCACATGTGTCAGATTCTACTTTGTTGCATACGATTGATGATTCAATCGGTTCAAATTCAATATTCTCACAAGCAAATGAAAACAAAATCAGTTCCTATTGAAAAATGCAAATGTTAATTCCAAATTAACTCTAAATTTACACAAAACATAAAATTATTCATTTTTTTTAATGAACGTGTTACAATGAATCATTTAAATTGTGTTAATATCCATTGATCTGCATTCAAAATTCCTTAAAAGACCTTGCAGTTGTTTGTGCATGGAAATCTCACTGAGTACTTTCGTTGTAAATAAAATATTGAATATATACATTTGACCATGTTCACTGCAAATAAATTTTACGAATATCAGTAGTTATAAATGTCCATTTACTGAACGATATATAATTATGTTGGGTGTTTTTCGTTTTTTACTGTTATTAAGAGCCACTACACTTGACAGTAAAAAGTCGGATTATGAATAATTCAGTCAGTCAGTCAGTTACAACGTAGAACTTCGTACGTACGTACATTAGTTCAGGTTGCCATACCACATTAGCACAGAGACTCCACTGTTAGTTCAAATCCAATAGTGGTAGAAATAGTAGAAGTATTAGCGGTTATCGAGAAGATTATGGTTCGAATAAATTATTCAATAAGTATTATTTAATGAGATAAGTTTAGAAGGACGAATACAGAAGACTAGAATTTCATAGAACACAACGAGTGGATGCACCTGCGTCATTGTAAACGCTTTTGAGCAATGTCATTCAACATCTACCAACATGACTCAGTCCACTTGTCAGTGACTTCATGGATTTGTGCCATGTTTTGGTTTGGCCACCCCTAGCTTTGTTCTAACCTACTCCTACACCATAAAACATAGCTCGTCGAGGCAGTCGGTAGTTGAGCATTCGTAACACATGTCTCAACCACTCCAACTGATGACGTTTCAGTACTTCATCTATTGATCTGCCTTCCTTACCAAGTTCTCGTTTCTTAATGGTAGTATTGCTTGGTCGGTTGTCCCGTGATACACGAGCAATGCTTCGGAGACATCTATAATCGAATTGTGAATAAATAAATTTGTAGCTAATTTTTCTACACTTTCTTATCAACATTGGTTTCAATCAGATAATAAACTATTTCTTATCATTATTATCGTATTCATGAACAAATTATTATTAGAAACTGTATATTTATCAATGATACTGAAAACTGCATTCAGATGTAAAACATACATTATACTGTTGATGTTTCTTACCTTTTTCTACATACATATCTATCGCATGTTATGCAAATTATAATAATTTCAGTTATTCACTTGACATTTTGATTGTAAAACCATACATTTATTTCTCCACCTGTTTGAAAACACACACGCTTGCGTAATCACCTATAATTACTAATCTATCATTCGTAAATATAATTTTCTGTCGGTTTTGTTACATAATTACCAGAAGCTTTATCCAGTTTCAAATTGATGCTTAGTTTTTGCCATTTGTTGAACAGATGTAAAGGAGTAATAATTGTGCAAAAAAATTACGGAGTAAAACCGCGTGCTTGTATGATATGAAGTTAGTTTACATTACAAGGTAACTGAAAATTAATGTGTACTACATGAGGTTAATCAATTTTATCCCCTCATAACCCATGCTAGGGATTATACAGCACAAGAACTTCAGACGTCGTAGCGACTAATTTATCTTTATTAAATGCTGTATATTTCCAATGACAAACAATTCACAATATTGATTATACATGTACTTATAGCGTAAATTAAAACTCACCTAGTGTATGATCCTATGAAATTCACCTAAATTCTTGTATTGTACGCTGTAATAAGAATAATCGTATAAATCTTTCCAATGATTGGACTTAATCTATATCGGTACGGTAATTATAGGTTCATTCGAATTGATTATTTGATAAGCTTGGCAAATAAGGAAAATGACGCAGAAAAATGGTAAACATATTATGATCAAGAAAAGAAATGTATTTTCAGTATTAAATAATTTGTAAATTCACTATTGCAATCCTGATTGGTTTCGCAATTTGGTATCTATAGTGAGCAATTTTTCAATGAATAATTGTCGGTAAAAGATGGTGTAATAAGTTGATACAAGTGTAAGCGTAACTATGAACTAATTGGAATTATTCTGTAACCTAAAAATCATCTTTAATAAGAATATTACCTTCCTTTTTTACGTAGTCATCTTACTCACCTACTCAATAAGTATAAAACATGTCATCATTCTCTTTATTATACTTACAATTCGATACTTTTAATCCATACATATCTTCCACCTTCAATAGTTATTGTGTCTCGCCGCAATTTGACCCGATTAGAAAAATTCAATAATTGTTGTGGCACATAAATATTCAGGTTAATGTGTTACAATAAATACAAAACACAAAGCCTATTCACTATTTCACACATACTGCATTTAAGGATGATACTTCGTTATTTTGTGAAAAAGCTTTTCATCCATCCAGGAACGCTGAACTATGTAGTTTGTGATTGATTTTTATAAAAAGCAGCATAAAATACAAAGTTGTATTTAGTAGCCATGAAACGTATTGTTGGAAGTCCTTATAAACTTCTGCATACCTTCTTTTGTTTCATAACTATCATAGAATTTCAGAGTGACTGATAAATTCAGTAAAATTCATATGTAAACAATGTTGTTTATCTCATTCGTAGATTTATAAGTGTGATTATTGCATTATTATGTACTGTTGTATCATTCTCATTTGCTCTGTTACTTACTCCATAGTTAAATGTTCCTAACTTAATCACAATCACACGCGTCGATCAGCACTGTTAACTTTGTGTCGACAGCTAGGTAACTATTGGTTCACTGCATGTTGGTTATTTTCTATGCCCAGCCTTTGAGAAAGCTAGGAGCGGCCAAACCAAAACATGGCACAAATCCATGAAGTCACTGGCAAGCAGACTGAGTCATGTTGGCAGATGTAGGCTACTTGATTGGGGTCCACGAGATGAAAGTTACCGATGGTTAGAGACCCTTGGATGACATGGGTCAAAATCGTTTACAATGGCGCAGGTGCATCCACTCTTTGTGTTCTATGAAATTCTAGTCTTCTGTATTCGTCCTTCTAAACTTATCTCATTAAATAATACTTCTTGAATAATTTATTCGAACCCTAATCTTCTCGATAACCGCTAATACTTCTACTATTTCTACCACTATTGGATTTGAACTAACAGTGGAGTCTCTGTGCTAATGTGGTATGGCAACCTGAACTAATGTACATACGTACGAAGTTCTACGTTGTAACTAACTGACTGACTTACCATGCACACCTTTTGAGTTCGAAAATCAGCGACTACTCTCCATGATAAATGTGTCACAAACAGACATGGTTTATGCACACAAGCAGACCAGACAGCATCTTACCGTAAAATAAAAAAGGGCAATTATATATGAACAAGTTAAAAGTCCTTATAAGTAGATTGAGACTAAATAATAAACTGATGACAAATCAGTGATGGAAAATCGCACGAAAGTAGTTAGTAAGTCGAACAACAGCTTATGACAAATGGAATATATAATACATAATAATCTAGTTTCTTAATAATAATTATACATTAAGAATATAGTATGATATTATGCTACTAATTGGTCCTGAGATTTACCATTTCTCTCCACTTTTCATATTCTCTGACTACGATATTTGATCTGTAGTTTCGTAGTAATTGTTGTCTTTTGTAGTGTGATTTTGTTATTCAACCATGGTATTTTGACATGGTCTGTATCAGATGAACAATATGAAAATTAATAAAAAGAATTTTTTTATTTGCGATACAATTTCTTTCAGAATCATCAATATTTAATCTCCTCTCTCTTAGTTGTTTAGTTGGTCTTTCCAAATTTCTCTATCTGAATAATTCAACTGAATGCAGCTTAATTAATAATGCAGTAACTGATAGAAAGATTATTATTATTATTATTATTATTATTATTATTATTATTATTATTATACAATCAATGTAATCGTTTTCATTCAAAAACTAATAACTATCAGCATCAGCATTAATTCATTGAGAGTAAATGTAGACTAATTGACACAGAAAAATAGCATCTACTTCAATAGTAAAACAATTCAGTTTCTTATCCATGTATCAGTAGAATAAAATGTAGAAATCGACTTTGTCATCTTTAATTGCCAATTTTTGATATGTTATGGTTCTCAACTAGGTACATCATAATTTGTAAACGTGATCCAAACCAAGCGCC